GGCCGTGAAATTACAGATTTGTCCATTGGAGTGGTTAAAAAAATTATTTTCTCCAGTTTATGGAATTATTCTCATTTTTATATAAATTATTTAGTTATATTTAGTAGTATTTAATCAATAAAAAATACATACTTAAGTATATGTCGAAAATATGTAAAAAATAATATAAATATATATACAAAAAATAAATCTTATTCAATTTGTTTTCAAAATGATTAATTCAATCTGTACATCCATTACCCTGCTCTAGGTCTATAATAATAAATATAGGTTAATTTTTCTGAATATTGTTCTAAAGCTATTTTCTTGTGGCATTTTAAAGTAATTACTATTTAAACTAAATTTAAAAAAATTAATTTTTTGTTAAGTACTTATTAAAATATTCTTCTAATAATTTAATTTTATCTGACTCATTTATATTGACAATTCAGACATATATTATACATTTTAAAGTAGAAGACTTTAAAATGATATTGCCAATTTTGCTGAGTTTCGTCCCTGGGACGACTTTATTGTAAGATAGTTCATTTGATTAAATGAAGTCAGAAAAAATCATAGCATTTAAGTAATTCGTCTTTTAAAAGACAACCATATGCCACGATGACAGTAAAATCCGCCTTTTAGTGATTCCATAGTAAATCATGAGGAAAAAACCAGGAAAAAAACCTCATCATACTATCCTGACATGGCAAGTATTTGGTCTTACATTTAGTTTACTCTCAATAAACACCAAATTCTGATTTTATATGTTTGTTATTTAAAAAACATGAATGATGTATCCTCGATATGTTACTAACTTCTAATACTGGTCTTTTCCTTTTATAAACTTCCTCTTTTAATATGGGTAACCAGATCCTACTGCATACTGTACCATCCGTTTCTTTCAATACTATACTTGAATAATTCCATTGAACCCTATGTTCATTATCCCATCTAATTCTCTATTTTTAATATAAGGTTGATGTTCACTTATTTTAACATTTAATGGCGTTGATGTTTCACCTAAATAAAACTGATCGCATTCACAAGGTATTTTGTAAATATAGTTCTTTGTCCTTTCTTGTTCATTGTTAGGTTTTAATTTTACTGTTATCATGGCATGTGTTTTTAAGGATGAATTACTTACATGTTATGATTTTTTCTGATGGATATTCTCAAGTTAAAGTTGATTTCATGCAATCAAATGAACTATCTTACAAGTAAAGTCATCAACGCAACTCAACAATATTGACAATATCATTTTAAAGTCGTCTACTTTAAAATGTATAATGTACGTCTGAATCGTCAATAGAGTCAGATGAAATTCAATTATTAGATGAACTTTTCAGCAAGTAACAAAAAACAAAATTTGTTTAATTTATTAATGTTTGTAATTTGAAAATGATTTCCGAAGTGGAAATTAAAACATCAATAAACTTACTTTAACTTAAACTAAATTTTGACAATAAAATTAAATTTTTCTGAAACAAAAGGTGGTTATGTAATGTTTCTAGTGTAAAGTAGGAGACACATTAAAAATTATGTTTGTATGGGATTAAACCACAATGATTGGTTATGATTGTGATGAAAATCACCTTTTTAAATAACTAATGTTTGATGTTTGGATTTCCATTCCTATGATCAATTTTGAGACCAATCACTCAATTTTGAAATGAAATATCCAGTAATAAAAACTTTGGTTATACATTTCTCAGAATTTGTATAAAACCTTTTTGAGAATGATTTCTGGAGTGGAAATTGAAACGTGAAACATTAATTATTTAAAAATGTGATTATCATCACAATCACAACCAATAATTGTGGCTTATTCCCATAAAAACATAATTATTAACTTAGACATTCCACAAGAAAGTAGTTTTAGAACCTTGATAGGAAACGCATAGTGATCCAAACAGTAAGGATCAATAATTGAATATAGATAAAATATTATTAAGTATTTTGTTATTATAACGCTGTTATAAAAACTATGATGAAGCTCAGCACAGACTGAATGAGGTCCAGTGAAAGGGTACAATAAAGATTTATGTAAGTACCAGTTCCACCAAGCCTTCAGCCCAAGATCTTTCAAGTCACAGTGTGAAAAGGTTTAAAGGGTCAAACGACAATTGTTTCTAAAATCTAGAATCTACAAAACACAGTGTATATTAGTTACTGCTTTTCAATATAATGTATACTATTACTGTATATTCATGTAAATATGCCAACTGTTCGAATTTGAAAAAAGTTATTATTATTGTGCAAGTTATTCTAGATGTTTATAAGTTAAAACTGACAGCTTTTTTTCTCTTTTGCAGTACATATTAATGGTACAATTCTGCCTCCTTCATATGGTACCCATAGACTTATCTTCTATTTGGAGCAAAATATTTGGAGCTGTAAACGACCAAGGGCAATGGCGCAGAAGATATAATTTTGAATTGTATCAGCTCTTTGATGAGCCAGATGTCATAACATTCATTAAAACACAGCGACTTAGATGGGCTGGACACATAATACGAATGCCAGAAAATACCATTGCTAAAAAGCTAACCACAGGAATACCTGTAGGAAAAAGAAGCAAAGGCCGACCGTGAATTAGGTGGTTAGATGGAGTAGAAACCGACTTACGAATATTAAAAATCAGAAGATGGCAACATGTTGCCAAAAACCGAACAGAATGGCGACGAATCTTAGAGCAGGCCAAGATCCACAGAGGATTGTCGAGCCAAAGATGATGATGAGACTTATCTTCATTATTTTAATGTTGTATTGTATGTGGAACAAACAGTTGGGATAAACAAATTGAATAACATTTAAACTTATTGTTTTGTTGAACTAATTGAATCTGAAATTTTGAGGTTTTGTTAAGCACTACATGAGCTAACTTTGGACAACAATATCAAAGGTGGAAGTTAATTTTTACAAGACTTAAAAATAATTAAAAATTTTGGCTTATTTTGCCAATTTTCAAGAAACAAATTAACGATAACTTTTAGGATATGCTTTGTTGAAACTTTTTGATGTTATTAAACAACAAAATTTTGTAGTTTTATAATAACTAAGAAATGACACTGTATTTCCGTAGAAAACATGTAGGTTTTCTTTCTGTGGGTACCTATATATTAAAAACTTATCAGCTTTACGAATACTATTCTTTCTTTCCCTATAGTATGTTGTTTTATTTCAGTTCAAGTGGTCCCATTGGCTGTTTATGTTAGTACCAAGATAACAAAGATTATCAAGATTACAAAGAATATAGTACTCAACCCAAGGAAACAGAAATCTTAAGATTCATATAATATAGAAACCCTTATTTCAACAAAATAATCAATTTTTGACATCTGCGATGATAAAGAATAGAGAATAGAGTTGAAACAAAATCAACTGAACAATACACTGAAATTGTCATACTATTTTTCCACTATATCCTTTAGGTTATATTATTTTTATTTAAAATGATTTGTGACTAATATACCATCTCAGACTATTTTATATAATCAATTACTTATGTAGTTAGAAGTTAAAGATATTCTACTATGGTCTTATCCATCTCTTATAAGGACTATTATTTATATGAAGATACATTGCAGAAAAAAACAGTATAAAAAAAACAATAATATTTAAGTACTTTGTTCTTCTAAGAAAATACTGCATTATAAAAAAATGGTTCACTAACATGTCATGCCCATATGTTACAATTATGTAAATCTTACTATTTCCATGGAAAATAAAAGGAAGTGCTTGAACAGGGTTTTTCATTATTGAACGAAGATTTGCCACCAAACTCTATTATATTACAGACCTTTGACAATGTTCTTATAATTCCAGAAGTACCCACAAGAAAAACTTCAACATAAACATCCTGTGGTGAAACAGGAAGATTTACACTATAAGAAACTAAAACCAAACCCACTTCAGGGGATGTTAGCCTTTCTATCAGTTTGTTGATATATCTTCAATATTCAATAAAGGTAATAACAGAGCTAACCTGCAACCTTGTATTATTACCCCTAGTTTTATCAATGTTCTAATTTTCTAGAAGGTGAATTGATTTAGTAGTATTTGGATACTTTGAAAATGTCTTGATGATGATCCTGAATAAATCTTCCATTTTATTAATAGACAACTGAAGAGATAGATAGTTTGCACATTAGTATTTCGTGTCAGCAGCTCTAGTTTTTTTATACAATAGATATTAAATATCCAGTGCTTAAAGATATTCCTTCTAAAAGAAATAAATAAATGAAGAGTATCATTGTAAAAAAAGAGCCTGCCCCTCAACAATTTTTTTACATATCTCTGAGAACATTAAGTTGTAAATTTTTAAAACTGAAAGATGAAACCATATTTCTTTGATCTATAGAGTTCACATTCAATCATAAGAATAGCCATTCCATAATTCAAGGGGTATGAGAGTATTCATAACTTAGTTGATAAATATGTTCAGCAGTATTGTTTCCAATTATTTTAATTTTATTTTAATCATTTCTTTCTGTTATAATGCTTAGTCATTATGATTTAATATCTATTTTTAGTAATGTGAGTACACTAAAAAGGGGAAAATCATCCATCACAAAAAGGAATCACTGAATTTCCATATTTGTAAAAATGTATAAGCAGTGTAGCATAATACTTGCTTTGGTGGATCACTTTATGACAACAATAAAAGATCAGGAAAATTCAGTTGAATGATACAAATAGCAAATCTAGCAACCCGGGGAAGGCTTTTTTTTTACAATTCTTGCTAGCCAAAAAAGTGAAAAAAAATTATTTTTTCAGAAACTATAAAAAGTAGTTCTGAAATTCCAGCTCAAACGGTATTTAGTTTGGTATTTTTATTAAGTTTAAAAGCCAATATATAACGTCAATATTTTACTTCGGTACTTAAAAAAAACACAAAAACATTGTCTCAAATTCTGTTTTGTGTACCACTTGTAAAGATACATTATCTTATCAAGGTAATAATTTCATAGAAAGAGATTATAGTTACGAGATAAAAAAAGTAATACATTAAATCCTACCTGCCAAGTGGTGTTTTGTCCAAGTCATAAACTCCTGTAATAGGTTCCTTAAGGACAAGGGTCGAAAGAAGATCGTCTTCGATCTGCAACAGTCCATCTCGAGAAGGAGTAAATCCCAACATTTTGCAGTAAAAATAATTCACTTTTCAAAACTAAACAACGTCACAATACGTCAATATTATTAAGTCCCGAAAAACGTTAAACAAACTTTCTACCTGAACAACCACGATTTTAAACAGCTGGCTGTTAAGGTTATGTTGTTTGGTCGAATACTTTCAAAATTTTGAAAGATTTCAACGATAAATGGGGCGAGACAGCACACAGTTTTACATATTTATTAACTTAACACGTACGTATCTTCAAAAGAAACTGGCCGGAAAAATTATGAAAGAAAACATGAAAAAGAACACAATCAAGCCGATATTATCTACAACACAGCTTGCTATGCTTCTCCTGCATTACACACTCTCTAACAACAGACTGAAGTCACATCACATTGGCCCAACCAACTGACAAGAACAAAGTTTAACGATTTCTACCTACTCGAGTCGAGCACAAGGGAATGGCTCTTCTAAAATCATTTATTACAGTAGCGCCATCTATACGAGACAAATATTTTTATTATTATTTAACAGTTTTCTATATTTACTTATAATGTTTTTATTTGTTAGTGAAAATAAGATTATCTTATTTTTTTTGGGTATTGTTTTCTTCGGAATCTTTCATTAGTATCCGATTAGTATGACATTTAAATTAGTATCTAAACTTTTAAAATTTCAAAAATAAAAATGGTAAAATGTAATACATAGGTACTAATCGTAATGTTTCATAATCTTAATGTATACAGTACAGGGTGTGCCATGACGAGTTTACGCTATCTATAAATCGGCAACTTTATAAAAATTGGTTTATGTGAATTACAGTTTAGGACAAAATGCCACTTCCGGTTATACCGGAAGATAGATTCAAGCTTTTCAAAGTTAACAGCTCATCCATCTACAAATACAATGTCTTGAAAACATTTGCACCCAAATAATAGATAACGTTCTTTCAGGAATTTACATTGAAATCGATTTTTAAAATACAGGGTGTTCACAAATTAAGAGTAGGTAGGTACAGGGAAAAACGATCCAAGTCACATTATACCCGAATTTGACTTATGGTTTCGTATTTGCTCTTTTACCCTGCGTACTTGAAATAAACAAAAAACCGATCCAAGTCACTAAAAACCTCGATTAAAAATAAGTACTTTATGGAAAAGCGATTGAACTTCGTGCGTTGTACGAAAAACCGATCGAAGTCGGTTAAACGTGATTTAATTAACAATTTCAATTTAATGCGCGACAGAAATGAACAAAACTATCAATTATGTGGCCTTATTCGCATAGATAATGTACAAAGAAGGCGTCCAAGGAAACCTGAAGCATCAGCAAATTTGCGAGATAACGCTTTTAAATACAAAGTAAGGCTTTTTGCCAAGAAAGAACGGCAGTTTAAAGGATATGCAAGTATGTCAAACAGCTTTTATTAATTTACATGAAATTACAATTCGAAGACTGAAAACCTCTTAAAAAATATCTCAAAGATAGAGGAGGTGTATGTCATAATAAAAGGGGAAAGCACACAAACCCTCCTCACAAGGTTACCGAAGAAATTTTCGGCAAAATCCAGAGTATATATCCGAAAGTATATCTTCCAGAAACACTAAACATTACAAAAATGTATAAGATGTTTGTACATGAGAATCTGCCACATAAAACAGTGAGCTATAAAACTTGCAGAAATATTTTTCTGAAAAATTTTAATATTGTTTTTGGATACCCACCATCTGATACATGTAGAACATGTGATGCAGCCAAAGTAAAAATTTAATCTTTGGAATACATATTAATATCATCACGTAGAACGGGAACAGGAAGCTAAATTATTATCAGAAAAAAATAGAAACTGCTGACAAGTTACATAAGCTTAGAGCACAAGCTTTTTACAATATAAGATGGACAGAAAAGAAAACAGCGAGAAAACGCACGGATTACGAATCAATTACCATGGAGTTTGCAAAAAACTTAACAACGCCTAACATATCAACCAACTAGTGATGTGTATTATAAGAGACAGCTTACTTTCGTGAGTTTTAACATACATGTATTATTTAGGAATCGATATGTTTTTACACATCACAAACCATCGCAAAGAACGGTGCTGATGATGTTATGTCTATGCTATATTATTTTTGTACAAAAATTCTCAGTCTACAAGTAAGACACCTTCATGTGTGACTCATGCGCTGGTCAAAATAAAAATTATACATTAATTAGATTCTTACACCACTTAATTGAGTGACCTAGAAAGTCACAACAAAATAAAACATTGATAATTAATATAATATTTTATTACCTTTTGCAAATCCGCTGAAACTACCATTGATGTATCGTCCCAGTTACTTTTTGCAGACGAGTCAGTTTGATATTCTGATATAGCAGCAGTGTATTATTTTGATGTACACCAAAGTTGGTGCATTCCTCACAATTATCCACCAATGCATCCTTTTTATGAGACGTGGATTTTGTATGCAAGTCAAATAATTCACACAACCAGCACTCTAATGCCTGGTTGCACCAACATATCTTAAGCTTAAGACGTGCCTTAGGTAGGCCTCAGCTTAGACTGATCGACCGACCACGACCAAACCGTCCGACGGCGATCAACCAAATTTTGTATTTTTATTTTTAAGAATATAAAGAATATTTTAGAATCAAAAATTATGGTGCAACGTAAGTGAGAGTTAAGGCAGCCCTAGCTATAAGCAGAGCTTGGCTAAGCTGGAGCTTAAGATCTATTGGTGCAACCAGGCATTAGTGTCCTAATTTTACAAATGAAATATTTAAAGTTGCGACAACTTCTCGATATAAATAATACGAAAACTTGATATTTGGATATTTTTCAATAAAATTCTGTTACAATATTTGTATTGTGATGTCACTGGGAAGTTAACGTCGTTCTGGTGCGTGTTCCCGACGGTAGTGTGGTTCTGTGGGTTTGAAAGATTCTATATGTTTTTAATAATATTTCGATCTATTTTAATATTTCCTGTCTTTCCTTATTTATTCCTGTTGACCGTCACATTTGAATTAATTTTAGTAAGCGCATCTTTAATAACTCTGTCATTTTTCTTTTCATGTCCCAGCGTTCTCATAAAAAATATTTTGCAGACACTTTGTTTGCATCCATCATTGTCTTTAAGAAAATATAAAAAAAACTTTTCGACCTTCTAGACACAACACTAGCTGTAGTTTTCCGTTTGGTTACTTGTTCAGATGCGTTATTAAAAATAGAATTTTTCTGTTCGTCTTTTTGTTATTTCCAAAATTCTCCATTTATTTCTGCTCGTTTTGCTTCTGTAATTTTTTCGGAACATCTTCTCTTGCAAGAGATACAAGATGGTTTTACACCCTGCTTAGCGATTGTGGCTGTTAATTTTCTTTTTTTTTTTTCTCATTGCTAAGCTCTCTTTAAATTTCTTTCTTTTACGGATTTCCCCTATTTTAGTTAAATTGTCTTTTTCCGTCCTTTCAACATATACATATATTATCTACCAAGATTTCTTGAATAAAAGGGAGACAGTCTTCTTTAGCTTCTTCTTCACCTTTGGAATCAGATTCTTCAGGAATAACATTTGCAGCTCTCAAGGTTATATCACTAATCACTAATCTTCACTTTATTTAAACGTTTGCTGTTTAATTTCGGTTTTTCAATTTCTTCTGTCCCTGAATCTTATAAAATAAAATCGGGGTCATTATCATGCTGAACTTTAGGTTTCTTCACGACACGTCGTCGTAAACTATGTATTTTCTTCCTTTGTTGGTTAGGTGCGTGCATTTAAAATATGCAGCATTTTAAATGCTCTGCTATTTCTGACCATTGTTACTGGTTCAGTTAATAAACTTTGTTGTAAACATACTTAAAAACACTGTAACAATAAGATTAAGATTAGTAAATAACTGAAAATCAGATAGGCCGAATAACGCTTACAACCGTTTAATTTTTAGGTGAAGAAACTAAAAAGGCGGGAACACTATGAATGATTAGGTTAGATCTTCCTGTTGTTAGAATATTTTGTCGAAACTACATAATTGTTAAGCAAATTTGTTGTAACTACAAATCGTCTTGTGAAGATACGACTTAAAATGTTAACACATGGAGATTCGACAAATTGGCTTAACATAAACTGTAAAAATGCAGATCCGACAAAATGTTGAAGTGGAATAACTTATTTTTAAACAACAGATAGGACTTTCATTCTTAACATATAGGTAGATTATTTGGCTATCAATGTGTTGGCGTTATAACCTAAAAAACTCAAAATTGCAGATACGACTTCTATTCTTAACAGGGCAGTACAGTACTCTATAAACCATCCCTGTATGGTTGCAGTAAAAAAGATTGCCTGCAATACTGTATTAACAGATTTTATTCTAGTACCTCTTCAAATGTTGAGCCTGAACAACTTTATAGTGGATTAATACCAATATCTATCTTAAAGTATAAGCAGCTCCAAGAATTTAAAAGATTAATTTTAGAGGAATTACAATCATTTTATGATAATTTGCCAGTAGTTGAAGTAAACCAAAGTGATAATGAATTTGCAGATGGCGAAGGGTTATAATTCTTTCAAATTTCAAGGGAATACCTAAATAAAAATCTGTGTACTGAAAAATTACATGTGTATATTATACTACACTAACTCTTCTTTTATTTGCAGGCACTTTAACCAGAACTGGACTTAGATTGGATTTTCCACACATTCTTATGACATTACACTTTTATTAATGTTTCTTTTGTGCAAGCTAGAATTAAATATAAAAGCTGTTTTTGTTAATATTATTAATATCTTTTATAGTGGGTTTTGATAAAAAAATCGTTTTCATTTTTGTCATCGCCACTTCTTTACAACGTTTTTAATCTTTAATTAGGAATAAATCAAAACTATTTAAATGTGACTTAGATCGTTTTTCCCGTGTACCTACTCTTCAAATTATACGCCAGTTCTTTAAATTTCAAACCATAGTAAGTTAATATTTTAAATGAAACATCATGTATTTTATAGTTTTAATACAAAAAC